AAACACAAAAGACACTTCTACGACACACTGGCAAGTGGAGCAGAACACGTTGCAGGAAGGAGAGACATGACAACACCATATCAAATAACCAAAATACTATCTGGGAAGATGGTGAGAGGAGGAAATGAGAGGTTGTGGGCTGTCGTGGAGGCAGGTTGAAAATATTTGAGAGAAGAGAATGTAATGGAGACGTGCTACTGAATCCCTATGCTCCATTAGGAACCCATCATGTGATGATTTTGAAAGATGAAGTAACCTATTTTAAGCACAAAAGAATGAGATAACATACAATAATCAACTGAGTTCATTCAATGTTCAGGTGATTATTTCTAAACTACAAGTTATACAGCAGTATGAATTAGGAGTCAATCGAAAGCTTATGAACCGACCTAGCTATACATTGATGTCATCAGTTGACTAATAGATGGACATAATTTGAAAATTACTAAAATAATACGATCTATAAGATCACATATCTGAGGAGATAAACATTTTTTTCACCTTCTAGATGATATAACACACTGTATTATGCATCAATAAGACATTGTTAATGATGCCACATGTTCACTTCTTGTACAGGATACTATTTACTTCAAGATGTAAAGACAACAGTGTAAAACATATTCTACTCTAAGGAAGAGTTTATATCTAGGCAGGAAAAGTAATCCTGATTTTCTTTTTGATAAGAGATATCTTTAGATGTTAGACAATAATTCAGTGATTCATAGTTTATCTGAATACTCATCTTTGACTGATGAAACTGGTGACTGGATGTAAAGCAGAGATTTCAACGACTTTTGAACCAAAATAATGAAATAATTTTCATGATATTAAGCGTCTATTGTTTAGTTCAACAACAACGACTAGAAATCTACTGAAGGAAAATACAGTGATAAATTGTTTAATAATGATGGGCAATGGAATCCATAATGCGCACTTCGTCCTATTTGGGACTCGTCAGCTGGATGCACCTGCTTCCCAGTGCTGAGTGATGTTGTCCTCACCGGGACTCGGGAGTGATCGCTTCAAACGCCAGTGTGTTATCCACTACACAACCGAGCCAAGATAGCCATTTCTTGTGCGACGGGTATAGGTTTAGTGTTATTGCTTGTATTACACTGTCGTTGATTGGACCGAATTGATCAGTCTGTGATGGCATATGGGCTAGTATGCGGAGGCCTCGATATTGCCTGTCTTTTAACTATGTTTAGTAATGATGTTTAAGTTGTGTGTCTTTGCGTGTTTCGCGTTCCTTCAAAGTCTTCATTTTGTCAACTATAAAAATCAATGAAGTGATGTTTACACTACTGGAGTAGTATGTTTGTTCAACTACTTGATTAGTGAATCCCAAGTGGTTTAGCCAATAATATTCTGATATTTTGTTTCATTGCTGTATCATTAGGGTGTCTAGTCATGTGTTACACTTTCTGCAACGTTGCAAGTCAGTCAAACAGTAGAACTCAGTCCAATATTTAATTGCGATGATAAATTCATTGAATACAATTGCCTCCATTTGACAAGTAACAAAAATTTAGTTGATAAGGTAATTTAAAGTGGATACAAGAGACAATTAAGCGTGATCACAGCTTATATAGGGCTATCAGAAATGCTTGTGGTCTCATGTACCTGTAAACTGCCAACTAGGCCTACTTATTCCATTCGGTGTGGGCGGACATCAGCAACAACTAACTTCTATCAGAGGCTTGATTTAGATGAAAATAAATGAAGATGATAAAGGTACTCAAAAGATGCCTATCCTTATTCAACTCAAACTCTTTTTTCATCCTATTCTAATTAGTGTTGACTTCAGAAATACTTACCCGTCTACACATCAATTCATTTCTAGTGACATCTTATCATCGTATTTCTCTGTATCAAAGTCAATACACACACAAAACTCATCTCCTCTTTATGATTGTCCAACTTGAAGACAAGTTCTCACTTAGTAATACTTCTTATCTCCTATCCTCAGACTTCGTAGAATTGCTTAACAACATAATGAAGATTTGGATACTACCAATGGATTCCCTATAGAAGTCTATGTCCCATTAGAAGTCGAGTAATTACACCTTACTTAACAACAGGGAATTTTAAGTGTCAATAAACGACAAATGAAACCGTGTACCACAACAAGTGAATCTAATGTCTCACTGGCTTAGAAGATAACGTCTCATGGTGTTTTCACCAGTCGGTACTACCTTCATATCTCCTCATTGAGAACACCATCACTGATTTGACAGTGCAGGTACATCCAGCTGACTAGTGAGTCCCAACTCGGACGTAACAGGCATCCTGGATTCCACTGCTGGCTTCCAATTGAACTATCATATTAAAGCGAAGCTTGTTTCATTATTTACAGCCTTTCACATCTACAAGTTTAACTCTATTCATTTGTCGTTGTTACTACCTGGTGTCTAAGTATGCAATTTATAAGAAATATCGTCTCCAGACACCTGTCTCTCTAATCCATAGGATACTGTCCATCGATGACAACCTCCACAGCAATCCATCTAAATAAACACTTAAACTTCGCTGTTCCTTCTCTGCAAAGTTTACTTCAAAATAAACTTCTGAAGAATTTCAACTGAATAATATCTTTGATATATTTCATCATTTTCAAGGCTTTATGCTATGATCGTTAAGTGGAACTTATCAGTCTACAGGAGATACGAACCTAACATGCAAAAAAACTCTAGTGTATACCCTAATCAGAATATCAACCAGAAGGATAACAATACCAACGGGATTTGGAGGAGACAATAAGGAAGAATGGACGATTGACACATAGCTTCTACTCTCATGTCAACAGTCGAAAACAGTTGAGAGTGATGGTGAATATATATATAGACAGTTGTAAACGACCTTGACGACAATAAATTCACTGACAGGTTAGAGAAGTTAACAACCAATGAGAGTTCAACCTTTAGAAGCTGTGTATATATAACAGTTTATCAGTGTAACAGTGTTCTAAACAACCATAGATTTCGTCCTATTTAGGACTCACTAGTCAGCTGGATGTACCCGCCTCTCAGTGAGTGATGTTGTTCCCACCGGGACCCGGAATCGAGAGCGACCGCTTCAAATGCCAGAGCGGAACCCACCACACCACACCAACAAGACACAGCAGTCCGAGTCCCGATGGGAACAACATCACTCACTGAGAGGCAGGTACATCCAACTGAACAGTGAATCCCAAATAGGAGGAAATGAGCATCCTGCATTCCACTACCCATCATTTCTATACACAGTTAAAAAGACAGTCAATATCGAGGCATCCACATAGAAGCCCATATGCCAAGAGACACTGATCAACTCGGTACAATCAACGACGGTGTAATACTAGCAATAACACTAAACCATAAATTTATTCATAATTTTCGATTCCTTGTAATCTGTGAACACTTTCTAAACTATCTCATTATTACGGGGGTCAATTTCATGATGTAAGATTATCGTACATAAAGCTGTTGTTTAGCATTTTGAAGCATTCTCGAAACTGGTGGAATGAAATGAGTTGCAATACCAGTGTATACCTGAGAGTACTTGATAGTTGTTTCGCTCTAGTATGAGACGCTTCAGCAGTGAGTACCTGCAACTACACCAGGGACAGAAATCACGACCTTCAGCTGTTATAATAAACCTGTCAACCATTTACTCACTGTCAGCGTGACTATCAACTAAGGAGTCTTAGACACGTACTGCTAAGGAGTCCCATACCTGCACGAAACAGCTGTCTTCAATGCTTCTCCAACTCACATCAGTCTGTGATGAATGCTACTTTGAAATAAATAAGATGTCCTCCATAAAACCTCGATAGTTGTGCCATCGCCAAACCTCGAAATCTACATTTATGTTACAGACAAACAGACAAACAATGAGTGACTTCTTGAACTGGTAGCACGTTTCAGTCTGCTAGTCCCTATCTGTCTACTTCTTCTTCTATAGATAGTCGTTCAACGTACTTTAGGGGAGATTGCATGTGATAGATGAGGGTAGAGCACATGTCTCACTCAACCGAACTGACTACTTCTCACAACTTCATCGAATGATATCAGTGACATAGGAGTGCTTATTGACATTTCTCTAGTTGAATATCAACATATTGTCTATGATCTCACTCACTGATAACTTAGTTTCAATATTCCATTCCAATGAAAATAATGTCTCAGAGTGATATTTTATAGTCCATAGCTTATCAATCAGTAGGCATTGATGAACATTGTGTGATTTCAGTTGAAAACAAGTATCTCCTTAGATACTTGTGTTGTCATTGATTGTGTAATATTTTATTGATTTCATCTGTCATTTATTTGATTGGTAGCATGATTATATAGGTGAGTCGATTTAAGAAGTTTCGACCGATTCCTCACTCCTTTCTGTATGACCTGTATTAGTTCTGAGATGATTGCAGCTTGTATGAAAACCTGTTGTTATGCATTCGATTGCATATTTTGTGTTTGAAATGGATTGTTTCATCTTTATAAATTATGGTGTGTGTGTGTGTGTGTGTGTGTGTTGTGGTCAGGTAATTCAATTGCATGTACACACATGGATAATGAGCAGAATTGCATTACTCATGGTTTGCGTAGTTGGATTGAATATACCAGATTAGGCAAGTGTATTCTACACTAATCACGCGCAAGGTCAGCTGTAAGACTGGGTGGGCAGAATCATCTGCATAAGACAATTACATCCAGGCAAACAAAGATATAACTCATTGAAAATCACTGAGTCCGTTTCAACGTCATCCTAATCACAACTGAAACAGCCAATCACATTTAGTTATTTTAGGCCGATTCGCCTTTCAAAAGGAAATAAACAATTTCCATTGGCTATTTCAGTCTCTTTTAGGCTAACCTTTACAGTCACTCTCTTACTTCACTTTGCATTGAGTAATAAAATTCAACGAACACTGATTACATTTATAGCTATGTTAACTCATCATTGTGAGTTTTCATGCTTAGAAAATAAACACAAACTTTCATGAAATCATTGTTTACCTCTATTCAGACATGCAAGCTCTTCGACATACTCCTCAGCTGATGAGTGTTGACCAAGTAGATAAGTGAATACACGCACATTTTTCTGTAAGGAAAATTCAACCCTCTGTATTCATTCATATCATCAAACATGTATACATGACAAAACTGTATCTTCAAACAATCTCATTTTCACCAATTAATATGATGTGTAGTGGCTAGCAATGAATTTCACGACATGCATTGTGTCCTATTTGGGAATCTCCAGCTGAATGATTCTGACAGATGACATTCTCATTCAGACTGTGATCCAATGGACATCGTTTCAAACACCGAGGTGCCAATCACTAGGTTACTGAGTTATAAGAACCACTGCGTTCGTGTGTTACACCACATTGTCATTCAATTATGCAACCATTCAAAATCATTGAAATCTCAGGTCTGTTCTGAATATCTATCCTCTACAGGATGCATTTCATTCCACTGGTTGCATATATCCATACACAAATAATCCACAACCACTAGGACCTAAGGACAACAACGGGGTGTCACAACCAGAGGTTGGAATACACGACTGGACTATGTAGGCGGTTTCAGTTACCGATAGATCTCCAGTTCAAATAATCAGTGTGAGTAAGTGCTTCAAAGTATGATCGTTAACGTTTATGGCAAGCGATTTTGAAGTCATGGAGCTTAAGGATTTGGAAATAATCTGTACAGATATTATTCCACAACTGAAATCGCAGTAGTAATGAAGTAATCTCATGTTGTTGAGGTTTGTATGGGATTTCATGGTTACATTCAATTTCGACTGATATCAGTTAGAGATTCGTTGAATACCTATGAGCCATGGAAAGCTGATTTATCGTAGTGTTGGACTTGTGAGTAGTGCACATGCACAACACCGAGAGACACTGAATCTCGATCATCTCCAGTTAACATTTGCACATGCAGACTTCTTTCTATACTAGGATGCAACTCGCTAATCTCTTGTCTCTTTCAACGATCAATCTAGTTGTCATGGAGTAAATATGCTGTTGAGAAGTGAGTCAATCACATGACGAGTACTTCTACCAATTACTTCCATGTTCAATTCATGACACAAAAACTGTTCTCATACACATCGACTTAACGTGAGTACAACTTGTTCAAATAAAACATCTTGAATACTACTACTGACAGTTTGACAGTAGCGTCATTTACATCACCAAATATTCGGCACATCAACAATCCATTCTCAAATTGACTCTGTCATCACTGTCATCTATGCATTGAAGACTGAACACACACTCACCACTACATCACCTTGTAACAAACAAGTCTAGACAAAATGTCTCAACGTGAGAGTAGAGCTAATCACAAAAGTACAGTCAGTCACATTCTCAGAAGGCAACTATAACCTGCTATCACATTTCACAACATCATGAACTAATCACAATGTAGTTGAGCCTTCATTCTATTCACATAAGGAAACTGTAACAGTGTGGAATGGATGTCATCACCCAATTCACTTGAACAACCCACACAAATTACTCATCTAAGAAAACTATGCAGTCTGTTTACATCCTACTCAAACTCTTGTAATTCTCTTTCACTCAATATTCACTACAGGTGCCATGTGGGAGATTCAATTGGATGAGTATCGTTTGGATTTTTTCGACTGCCGTTCACAACCTTGGTGAGTCAATCAACCAATTGAAAAGTGTAATTTACATCAGCTTGTTTTAGCAAACTATGTAAGTTGTGGGATTTAGGTATTTGTTATGTGGAATAGTTGAGAAGAAGAGGGGAAACAACCTAATTCCCATTATACTGGTTTACGAAGGTGATTTGGATAGAGAGAAGCGATTGAAATAGGTGTAGAGTGTGATTAAGGAAGTCTGTAGATGTGTGTGAGTGGTCTCAAACCATTCTCCTTCATCCGGTGTATACTAACCTCTCATGTAAGACCCACCGACTCCAACCCTGGAGGAATAGACAAGAAAACCGAATCTGAATGGGAGAGTTTATTCCACCGAGAATAAAATAATCATTTAACCCAAAAAACACGTGTGTTTGCATACACTTGACATGTGGACTTTTCCAGAAAGCGGGATGTTAACCTATCAGTGAATTACCTTGAAAATGTGATGCAGAAAATGAACTAATATCCGTGCCGTAATGAATGGTTTGAAAACGACAATTTTGAAAAAAATGTTAAGATTAAGAAACAAAACTTGGGTCTTCCAACACAGTTATCACGTTCTGAGTGGCATGAGTTAGAGAAGTTTCAAAGATCTGGGTCTACTGGACAGTTGTTTATTCCTAGTACCGGTCTGTTCAGCAGTGCGCATCCATATCACCAAAAGGGACAGAACAAGTTTACACTTTAGATAGATGCATGCTCCACTCTATCATGTAATCTCTTCTAAAGAATCTGCTCAGCAAATGTCATCAGTGTACAGATATATGTTTCAAGAATGAAATGATGATCATATTGATGATAAGGTTTGCTTTGTTCTCTTCTATTTTCACTATTTATTATACATGGAAAGAAGATTGAAAGTTTTTCGCTTACCTGTGGATTAAACTCTTTGAATAGATATTCATAGGATCCAGGAGCGTTGTCTGTGATGATCATGATCATTCGATTACATTTAAGGTTTGTTGGGGATTTTTCATCTGTCTGTTCAAAGTAAGGATAAACTATGAGCTAATGATTAATTGTATAAAAAGAGATCAGTAGACGTAAACGAATTCAGCCAACACCCCGAAAAAGAGGATATGAAGTTGGTTACCTAAGAATGACTATAAAAAAACTGGATAACGTGATTTGGGGTCTGTGACGAGACAGCAGTTCCAAAGAGTGTCAACAAGCACCAAAAGTAAGCGCCGTGGGAGTTCTTGCTGTTTTCTCCTATCGAACTGACGGAGAAGTCTCGATGTTATACATGAATGATGATTGACGTTGAACAGCTGGTTATTTAACAGAATCCTACGTTAGCAGGAAACCCGCAATGAAGTATGGAAAAGTTTGTATATCTTACCGATGGGATACTTGTGGAATATGTTTCCGAACGGGTAAGAGAACATCATTTCACTTGTCTGCAAAACCATATCGTTGACCCTAGTTGACCAGCTTGTCAATACTGGTCACCACCTCTTTAGGAGTTCAACTTTCAAAGTCTTTGACAAGGTTAAATGGGAAGTTTATGAAAATGGCACGTTTCCATCTACTGTACACTGAAGTACGTCTTGTCAAACTTACACGGATAACCGGAAATTATGCCTTCATCCTGCCTCTCTTAATTTTCACAATTTCGTTATATTTTAATTTAGATGTTTCTGGGTATTTAAATCCAGGAAATTGAGTTCTCCCAGCGACCACCTTTCCACAATGCCATTGGGTTAGAATGTATTGCCCTATATCCTTCTAGTTCTGAAGGTCCTTAATTCGATCCCTGGGGAGACGTGGACATGAGTATGCACTGTTGACGAGTCCCATGCCAAGACGAAACAGTTTCCTACTGCTCCCAGGTTGCCGATGCTTTCCTCAGGCTGAAAACAAGAATTTTGATGGATGATGCCAAGCAGTTGAATCAAGGATGTTCATTTTGTGTGTGTGGATTGTCAGCTGGATGTACCTACGTTAAAAAATGTATAACTGTACCCGTGGAACATGTAGTGGCAGTTGTAATTCAGTGGCTTAGTGGATAACGATCTCGCATTTGACCTAATATTCCCAGATTCTAGTCTCACTGAGGACGATATCACTCATCAGGAGGTAACAGGTACATGGAGGTGGTAAGCTCTAAACAGCATGAAACCCACGTTCACGATTGTACTATTAACCATGATGCATCTTTAATATGAAAATGAAAATACCGGCTATATGAAGACATCCACAGATAAGCTGATGTGTCAGTGAAAGATGTAGATTCACAGGCTATAACACGCTATAAACTGTAAGCAAGAATATCACCAAGTACAATTACTATTCGCATAGAATATAAATCGAAGAGGTGGATATTAAGTCAATGAAGCGCATGCAACTGATTACTCTGATGAATACGTTCTATCACCTAGATGATTATCAGACAGTCAAAAGTGAACCTGCATATTTCATAGTCTAGCCATAACTTCCTGAAGTTTAACCTCTCATTAACCTGCTTTTCATATGTTCGTATATATGTGTGTGTTTGCATTCCAGTAGCCTAGATGCTCGATTACTCGACATCACGGACATAATGGGATTGAAGTGGCTAATCTCGTCAAAAATCAAACTTGGACACTGTGATAGAATGATATTCCATATTAGATTTGTTTATTGTGATATATAGCGCACAGTGTGTGTTTTCCATATCTCTGGTACAGATGGGTGTTGCTTCCTTCCTACTACACATGGTGTTGGGTGTAGATTTAATGAAGTAGCATTCAATGATCAATCTCTCTATCTTTCCAACTAAGTGTATTCAACTTAAGTACAGTGGTTTTATCCTACAGTATTGTATGTGGTTGTGTATTGATAAATGCATTGGAATATAGGATTTTTTCCTTAGATTATTGATCTTATTCGAGTTCATCATTCTATATTTAGCTAAATTCTTATATTCCGCTTTTCTCACTGACCCCAACCGGCTAATTTGACCTACGTACTTGACTGACAGTCGTTGGATGGCATCCAGCAGATTAGATTATTTTGTTTAATTGGTTCTATCAGATCCTTAAGCTAGCCGACAAAGCTTATCTCTGAATGAGTTCGTAGGCTTAAATGCCGTCTTAATTCTAGCCTTGTTGACAATCTTATGTAAAGTTTCTCATGTTCCTTCCTTTCTTACATGGTAACACAATGGAGGGAGTACCTTTTTTATGTGCTTCAGTTCCTTATTTACGTCCTTTAGTCATGTGGTAGCCCCCCCCCCCCAAATGTAATGCATTCATATGAGACACAGGAGGACAATATTGACTCAGAAAGGTATTTCCTGAAATCATCTTCTGTTTGAAAGAAACTAACCTATCTGATAAATAAACACATTTACATTTACCTTATTGAACAATGTAAACACTTCTGTGATTGCATTTTCATATGAAGCTGTTCCATTTGGACTAAATTTTCGAAAATTCTTGATCATTTTCTACAAGAAAAGAAAAAGGAATAAGAGAGAAAAAAAGGTGGAATGAATCAATTCACAAATATAATTTTATTGAAAAGATTTACTTCATCAGGATTTGAAGAAATGAACAAGAAAAACCTGAGTGATTGTGAGTTATGCATGATAACTATTGAAAATCCTCTTTACTGTATGTAGTTGTGTGTGTATGTATGTGTGTATGCGTGTCAGTGTGTTCATAAGATCTTCAAACTGTTCGATATGTTGACAGAAGATGCAAGGCGTGGAATCATAAAGGCTTAGCTGTCGATTGTAAAATTTCGTCGACTAAGGTAAGCAAGATCTGTGTGATGAACTGGATGAAACATAGTGTATGTCAATGAATAATGCTGATCTTCCATATCAAGATAGTCATGGCCCTAGAAGGTTAATGATTAAGTTTCTGTGATTTCCTTCTGCAAAGATTTGGATGATGGATGGAGTACCGGTTGCCTCACGACTGCCAATGAGCTAGAAACCTTTGTCCAGGACTTGTTGCTAATTGCCGACAACCAACTAATATCCGTTAGAGTCCACCATAATGATGAGCTTCCCAGTTTGGTGGCTAGATTGAGAAATGGTCGATAGAATTTCGGTCAGCACTCATGACTAGAGAACATGAAACTGGTTAATTTCTAGTGACTAACCAATGTACCTGATCCAGTCCTTTAGAAAGTCAGTTGTTACCCAATTGAACTGGATGATGTAGGTATCAACAACACAGGCGAAACCAGTTCTGTTCAATATGCGGATGTGCCGCTCTAACTAGGGCCGATGAACATGTGACGTAGTTCTACGGTTTCTTGCCAATTCACTCTCTACGTCTAGAACTAAATCACGCCACATTACATTGTCATAAGACTTAACCTCATACAGAATTTGTTGGCTTATGTAGTTGAACGATGAAGACATCAAGCGGCTTCGAAAGAAGGATAAAACTTGTCAGATCAAGACACCATGAAAGGATGCGTATTCGCAGTCAAATTCTAGCATGAATACTGCTGTCCTTGGACACGCTTCTCAACCCCTATGAGTCAAACACTGAACTGAATGTAAGATGAGTTCTTACTGGTATCCCTTTCGCTATCAACCATTCCTTCCTTTCTCCCACCCTCATATTCTGTAAAATGTGAGTCATACGTTAAAGTGAAAAATCACATGACTCATGATCTATGCCTTTTCACAATACTACTTACTACAAAATAAGTAGTTAACAAAGCAAACGGAATTTCAGCGCGAATGAAATTGCCTGTCATTCTCACTTATTTGCTATGTTATCATCATAACGATTTCGTGCTTAAGAATCACAAGCTTTTAAGCTTACAGTGTCGATAGGAAGCCAGCAGGAAGCGATGGGGATCGAAGACGAATATGCAAGATGAATTCCATTGGGTGATGATTACAGTTTACCATATGTCAAACTAGTCGTTCACATCGTCAAGTGTTCTATCTCAGTATGGCATTGTTAGTGCTCACATTGTACAGGAGTATAGAAGTTGCAAGGGAACATCTGTACATTTCCATGTTGTATAGAAGGAACGTGGCTTTTCATGAGATAGTTTTGCTTGGTGTTTAATGTACAGTTCAGATCTAGAGATGTCATTTTATAATCAGACGCACAGAGTGGCGATGAGGTCTCCACTAAGACCTCCCCTGGCTGATATCTTTATGGCAAAGCTCAAAAACGGGCCACTTAGAGAGATAATCTCAGGACTTTATTTGTATAAAAGGTACACTGACGACACTTTCATTATTTGCGACGAAACATGTTCAGTGGACCAGATGCTAAGACCCTTCAGTGACTGTCACCGTCAATTAAATTCACTTCAGGGTAAAAGTTAAGTTCAATGCTCCACTTTTTAGACGTAAAGTTAAAGAGAAGGGATTATGGCTCGATACAAAGGTCAGTCTATCGAAAACCAACATGAATAGGCCAGTTCGGTACCTCTCAGTTGTAAAAGAAACCTAATACACTCGCTGCGTTCCAGAGTCTATAAAATCTGTTCAGAAGACGCGGCGGATGCTGAACTCAAAACTCTTGAGACAATATTATCTAATAACGGATATCCCAAAAGATTTACTGATAAGAATCTGAAGGAATGAATTACTCCCCATCCCATTATTGTTCCTAAGAAAATCGTAACCATGAATCTAGAATTCAAAGGAGACACCATAGCCGAGGTGCTGAAAAACCGTCTGTCAAAGTGTATCAGTAGTAGCTTCCATGCTGCTAGACTGAGATTGATATTCTCCAGCCACCGTCTGATTCGTCAATGTATGAAGGATAAGCTTCCAATTATGTCCACTTCTACGTGTATCTTCAACTTCACATGCTCCTATAGAGCTGACTATATTGGATGTTGTAAGTGGGCCCTCCGAAAACGTGTTGGTGAACACTACCCCGTTTCGCTTACCAAAGACAATCAAAGGGAAATGACTTCATCCATATGTGAACACCTTGTTGAATTAGGTCATCAGCACTTCGAGATTTATCCTTTAAAATAATTTACAAGGATAAATTGAACTACTCCAAAAGGTTTACGTTTCCACCACTTATTCATAACTGAAGCATTAGCTGTACATGAACAAAAACCGAAACTTTACATTCAAAAATGTCTTGTGAAACCACTTTCTCTGCCTTGGCCTTAACAACCTAATTTTGGTTATTTTATCAATTTCGTTTCAAGTTGTTATTCATCATAGACTGACATGAGTTGGAGGAACAAAGGAAACCTAGGAGCACTGGACAGCTGTTTCGTCCAACTAGTATGGAACTCCTCAGCAGTACGCACCCGCGACTTTCAGGTCTTGTGGCCAGCAGGTTACCATTAGGCCACTGCGTCGAAATTCAGTGGTCCATATTTCCAATTTCTGTAAGCTCACGCACGATATAGAGCAACCGCCACCCAATGTCATCGTTGAGTAACTGTCTTCACGATCATCAGGCTTTGCCCCCACTTTCATTTCACTTTAGTATACTTCTCTTTTATGATCATCATCATTATCACCAACTTTCATCTGATTGACGTTTCAGCTAAATTATCACCGTTTTACGATTCTTTGACAGCACTTGTCTCTTATCTCACCACTTATCAATTCCTTCCTCCTTATTCACAGTGACCCATTTTCTATTTCTTCCACTTGAACAAACACCACCACCATCTACACCGATTGTATATTTTGCATATTTTGACTGAGCAAACCTCTTTTTAGTGGAATTACCCGTCAGTTTGTCGAGTATAAATATGACTAGTGTACAACTAGATAGGATGAAGTTGTCGAGATGAAATGCTCTTTCTTTGCTGATACATGTTTTTATTCATAAAAATTGAACTACTCATAAATTTATAATTAGCTAAAAATGTATCTCGAAATTTTTTATAACTTACATCTTTATTGAATTTTGTTGCTTGAATTAATCTATCCGTAATCATTGGATCAGCATATATGGTGATATCAGAAAACTGTAATGAAATACAAATAAATAAGGTGCAGTAATAGACAAAACGATACTTAATTGAACTCGCAGTATATAAAACTATGAAGAAATAAACATACAAGTGAAGAAATGATGTAACATTTCTTATGATTTTTGCTTCCAGAAGCTACCTGAAGTGAGTTAGATCAGAATTTAATGATAAATGCTTGGATAATAATATTCACATTCACCCTTAACAATCACTGGATGCTTTGTCTTCCATCAATCTGATTTTAACACATACGATCACGTATCTTTTATTGAAACTTAGGAAGATTTACTGATTGGTTATACGGGAGTTTAAGGGCTTTAAAGTTTTCTGAAGGATTCGGATAGTCAATCATAGGGAGATAACAAAGATGGTCGGCATAAAGTGAAGTATCCTGTGAATATGAAGGTTTGATAGATTTTAGACGTTGGTTTCAGTAGGAACAAGACGCTTACTTTACTTACAACCCCACTAAACCAATTCAGCACAGTGGTGTTTATTGTGAAGAAATGTTTCTTGGCTCAATATAAACTGGATATCTTCAACGAAGAATTCCAGTAATTAGATTAATCAGCTGGATTACATTCAATCACTAAGAAGTCTGAATGCTTACGAAGAAAGAAAGCCGTTTCTAAACCGAAAATAAAGAGAGAGAGAGAGAGACAGGATTGCAGACATATTGTTATGAGGTAGATATATTCCATCTAGCATCACAGACCAACATGTAATGAGGTCCAGGCATCCAACTCTCTGCTTGTCTGCACTCCTAAATGCTTTATTCATGAATACATTCATTTTTAAAGGTAAAGGCTATAACAAAATATTACGAATTTTGGTGATATGTAACACTTCGCTTTATGGATGATCAGATGAGGGATAATGCTTAGATCTATTCCCTTTGAATATAAACTTCACCTTCTGCTGGTCTCATTCCTATGAAGAAGATGTTGATGAGCTGTATTAAGTTATGTTTTATAGGAATATGGTTGATAAATTCGTGAACGTTCTAATGCGATGGTATACTTGAACTGAATGGGAATTGACACCGTCCTTTCTCAATACCTTTACCTTATACTTCACTGAACCATGAAAATGTATCGACACAAAGACTAGTCTATGAATATAAGGAAGACGAATTTATTCAAACAAAAAAAATGTATCATTTATACATACTAGTTTACATGAACATATAAAACCATTAGGTCAAAGGTGATTCAATAGTTCATTCAACGAATGTCATCAAGCCTTCAAGTTTACCATAGAGAAGGAATCAGGATCAACTATTCCTTTTCTTGATGTGCTTCTCATCCGACGTCAGAATGGATACCTTAAAAGATCCATCTACAGAAAACCAACGTGGAACGGATAACTAACTAATTTTTATAGTTGGGTGCCCATCAACAGAAAAAGAAATCTGATCCACTCCTTTGCTATTGAATAAGAAGTATCTGTAGTGACGATTGTATCGATGAAGAGCTACTTTTTTTAAAAAGCATACTTGTCGAAAACGGTTACCCTAGCCGCTTTATTGATAAAAATATGCGAGAAAGAAACACTAAACCGGTCATTCACTAGGTCTCAAAGAAAAGATTGTTTATGAGCGTAGAGTTTAAAAGTGACCTAGCATCGGATGTACTGAAGAATCGTCTTACCAGATCAATCAATAGGACTTTCTTCATAGCCGCAACCTATTCTCCGCCTGCGTTAAAGACAAGCTTCCTCGTTTGGCCGCCTCTATGTGCATCTATCAGTTCACCTACTCTTGTGGAGCAAGGTACATCGACCGTAGCCAGAGAATGCTTTCTACACGTATACGAGAACATGTTCCTGCTTGGTTTTATAAAGGTGAAAGAAAGTCTGTTAGAAGTTCGATTCTAGAACATTTGATTGACCTCCATCACACAACAAATCCAGACGATGACTTTGAAATTATTTATTGAATTCACCCAAACCTCCCACTTTCTCTTCGTTTTCAACTCCTTAAAACAGCGGAGGCTTTAGCTATTCATGAACTAAGACCTGATCTGTGTGTACAAAAGAAGTATGTGCAGTCACTGTCTTTATCATGGCCATAACATTTTCCCATCCCATTCTCTCCCCCTCCCACTTTGTTAATTTAACCTTTGTATCCTTCCTTTATCACCATTACTGTTATTATAATCGCCTTCACTTTAACTAGTTTCCGGTATTGTTTCACTGAATTGTCTTAATCCCTTTAGAAAACATTGACTTCATCTTGTCCAATTTGTCTAATGCTATTACATAATACTTAATTGATTTACCATTTTCAGCAATTTTTTCACCCCCTTCTGAGTTGTATACTTTCTATGTACCATTCCATATATTACATAATCTATTTGTTATCATTTGTACTTCAATTGTTATTATAATCATAAATGCTTATGTCATCACCCGCTTTATTATTATTGTCATCACCATATAGTGTTTAGTTTTCTTCACGGGATATAATTTTTTCCAAATATCATATATATACGATTTGTTATTTATCGTAGACTGACATCAGTTGGAGGAACAAAGGAAACCTGGGAGCACTGGACATCTGTTTCGTCCAACTAGTATGGGACTCCTCAGCAGTGCGCACCCACGACCCCACCAGCAGGGATCGAACCCACGACCTTCAGGTTCCGCGGCCAGCGCGTAACCATTGAGCTAGCCACTGGGTCAGAATCCAGTGCTCCATATTTCCAACTTCTGTTAGCTCACGATATATATGATATATACGGTTGTACAGCTTGAAAATGACTTCGTTGAAAACAGTCTCTTCGCTGAATATCTTTCTTGTTCTTAATGTTACAATGGGAATTATTAAATTATTTTGATTGTCTTATCAAGTTTTACCTGACTATATAACAACATGAAACAAAGATTTAGCGATTAATGACTTAAAATTTATTGACTTCAATTTAAGGCCATTTTCTATCAACTGTATGTGATAATAAAAGTTCCTTTTGCCAATTTGCGCTACCTATAGCGCCGCCGTGATATTCGTTTGTCTATTAAGGGTTGCGTGTACTGCACTGCAGTCCGCTCTCTTCTACTATATGGCTGTGAAACATGGCCATTGAAAGTGGAAGATATAAAAAGGCTTCAGGTGTTTGACCACCGTTGCCTTCATAATATAGGACGTATTCCGTGGTGTCACCACACCACGTGAGTAATGCAGAAGTTAGGTGTAGAGTTTTGGGGAGAAGAGGTAAGTCAGTTGACGAGGTTATGAACCTTCATCGACTGAGATGGTTGGGACACATACTACGTATGCCTAGTCACCGATTGCCTCGTCACACAATGTTGGCTGAGGTGGGTCCAGGCTGGAAAAAGGCCCGAGGTGGCCAGACTAAAACATGGCACCAATGTATGAAGTCTCTGACTGTTGGTTTAAGCCATGTAGGACGATGCAGACTAGGTGGTTGGGGTTGGTGGGACAAGAGGAACCAGTGGTTGGAGACCCTAGGTGATATGGCTCAGAACCGATGTCAGTGGCGCAGATGCATACACACATTATCCTCATCTTAACAACGCTATACCGAATCTCACTATTTTGTCACTCCTCTTTCCTTTCTTCTCGTATTTTATATTTCTCTTGACTGCATTCACTTATCTTCATCCTTCGCCTCACTGCCTTTTTACTTGATGTGCTGATATGAGGTGTGGCAAGTTGGATCGTTACGCAGTAATGCCTGGTCCTATGTTGATAATGATGATGATGAGTATGTTGTATATCTATTAAGTATGCTAAAGGAGAAGTTTCTATCGATTTCTTGTTCAGTCTCTTTTATACTATACACTTAGAATCTGATAAACCTTTTCAGATATTCATTTTCATTTATAATATCACAAATAAACAGAAATTCTTTCTTCATGTAGTACATTTGTGCTTTATTGTCAAGGTATCGAGAGAGTGTGGATACTTTGCATAAATCCTCGATTATTTAATATACAACCATCTTGTCTTCTTGTCATTTTCATATAAAGAAACTTTCTTGGAATCATTGTTTCTAATTGCTTGTCTTAAGTCAACTTATGAATGGGTATTGTTGAAGGGATTCACAATAGAATTAATCCATTAGGATCTTTTAAAGACTAGAAGAATATCATCTATGTATCGAAAGTATAATCTCATATCAGCAATTCAGTGTTTCAAAAGAACCATTTTTCAATTTCTCCAGGAATATATCTGGAAACATACGGTCTAATGAAGATTTCATAGCTAATCAATTAATTTTTCTGTATGAATTACTATCGAAGATGAACTGAACATTCATTGTACACTTCAACAAATGTCTAAATTTCTCTCCAACAATCTAGTCCATAATTTCAGTTAGAGGGATGTTAAACAGAAACAATGTGACACCAAGGGATCGCATCTATTTCTTCAAAGTTGTCTTTCATGTTTCACTTTGCTAACTGATCACATAAAGTATAAACTTATTGTAATAACTATTTCGCAATAGGGTTTGTAAGGTGAGTTAGTCATTCCAAGGATAGAGCGAAGTCGTACCTCATGTTACAGTATTTCTTGGCAACTCATACATTCATGAAATAATGTTGCTTGTAGGTTTCAAATTCTTCAGATAAAGTTGATGAAATGTACCCGCCATCTTTTATTTTCTTTGATGTGTGGATTAAATCTTTTTCTGTTTCATAGATTGTTTTTTCGTTGACTATAATTTCTAAAATTTATTCTAAGGGCCAACCAACCAAGAAGAAGTGGAAATGGATTGGACATACACTGAGAAAGCCGACTGGGGACATCACGCGTCAGGCCAGTGCCTCGAGTGGAATCCCCATGGGAAGCGACGAGTTGGGCGAGGGTGTCCGAGGGTGACATGGAGGAGATCGTGCGAGGAGGAAATGAGAGCTTGTGGACTGTCGTGGAGGCAGGTTCAAAAGATCTCAGAGAACAGAGGTCACTGGAGACGTGCTACTGAAGCCCTATGTTCCACTAGGAACCCAAGGGACTAATAATAATAATAATAATGAAATGATATAAGAAGTGTTGGCTAGGAATTAAGTCTCTTGCTGCTGCTGCTGTGATGATGATGATGATGATGATGAATGGATTAGTGTACTGGATCTCGTAGCTCAGATGTTAGAACACTTAATCACTGATCCATAGACTGGTTTGAATTCAGTTTAGACTTAGATTACCATATCGTCTTGAATTATTATCAAGAATACAAGTCTGGCAAACTATCAATATCTTATCTTAGACAGATTGTATAAGTTCGATGGTTTTTTTGTGTATCGTTAAACATTTCATCATAAAGTTAGATAATATACAGTAAGTAAGCCTGAACAATTCACTTACTAGCATCACATTGAAATAATCATTGTCTGTTAAAGTGTTCAATATTTCAACAGCTGTAGCGTTTGATAAAATATCACTTCGACCTTTCATACTACCACTTTTATCAATTAGTATAATCATTTCTTTAGGATAAGCTGATGCTTGTAAATACCTGAATGAATTTAGATGAAAAACGAATTAACATTGACTCAGTTATACGTACAATATATACATATATATAAAGTAGTATACATTATGGACTGAGGAGAGTCATACTGCTACGAAACAGCGGTTGTTCAATGTACTGCAGTTTTCAATACTTCTCCAAACTGATATCATTCCTTGAAAAACATTAACTTAGAGTAAAAATTACCATAAACTTCAAATTATGTGTGTGTGTGTGTGTGTGTGTGACAGAAGCACTTACAATTTAAAGATGACCTTCTGAAATTATCAGGATTCAATGAAGCATCAGTATAAGCTATCAGTTTATAAGGTTATCATTCAAGAATATAGGAAGCTTAACTTTCTGGTAGACTTTCATTTGTGTTGGTTGGGTTGAGAGTATTCCTTAAGGAACTCTGTTTCACCTACATTACATGTATGTTGATATTTATCAGCCAGGAGTGATATTAACCATGATATCCTTTCAGTTTGACAAAGGTGATAGTGTTAAAAATGCACCACCTAAATGATACAGGTTTGAATTGATCAAATGAAGTGACTGACAAAATAATAAGATATCCGATATGGTTGTTAACGCAATGGAATACTTGAACATGAACCTGATACTTTATTGAGCCACGGAAATATTGGTAAACAAAGATTTATATATGACTCCAAAGGGAACAAAATCATTCGATAAAAAAAACAAATTACTTATAAACAGTTTTTCTTCAGAAAATAAAGCCACTAGGTCAAAAGTTGTATACACTTATTTTGATTGGCTGGATGAAGGTCAAAGCTGTGCAATAAACTATTTCTTGCTAATGACTTAGAATGTTGATTTGAACTTAGCCTCCTTCTTATCATCTAGGGACATCAGTTCCCTTAAGGTCACAAATGCAATATGTTACCAAGCGCCAATAACCACAAGAAACCTATCTAACTTCAAGAAAGACTTCCAGTCGACCACCTACAGAGCACTATTCGTTCACTACATCCTTAAATATTATACCATTGTCATAGATGATTTAAATAGGTAAAATTCAAACAAAGTTTTTATTTATAACCATGTTGAAGTTCAGTCAGTCTGACAACTTGTTCACTCTTGTACGACTCTAAATGTACACGTGAACTTCAAGCAATACAACTATACTGTTATCATGTATAAATTTGGGCATAAATATAGACCAATTATGAAGACTTATTGTGTATTCAGATACTTAAAAATGTATTTCATATATTCTTAGACTGTTGCTAAGAATTAAAACATGAGATCTAATGAAAGATAAGGATCAGAGCGTCAAACTAACCTGTATATGGCTGTCACAAGGCAGTTATCCTGAATTCGATCTCTCGCGGAATCATGAAAGCCAACTGCTGACGAGTCGCTTGTAACAACGAAACGCTTGTTCAGTACACCCAAGACCTCAGTGCTTCTCCGCCAATGTCAGTCATTTCATGATTAATGCGAAATTGAAATCAGTAAACTAATCCCCTCTGAAACCTCCGTAATGAATCGCTGTTATTTCTGCAGGGTTCGAGCGAACATCACTCAAAACCATTGAAGGGAAACGTGTACTGGCCTCAAAATACTCAGTGGTTTTCTGTATGAAAACTAATTACTCTTATCACATAACTGATGAACGAGAACGGTTTGAGACCACTCACACACATCTACAGACTTCCTTAATCACACTCTACACCTATTTCAATCGCTTCTCTCTATCCAAATCACCTTCGTAAACCAGTATAATGGGAATTAGGTTGTTTCCCCTCTTCTTCTCAACTATTCCACATAACAAATACCTAAATCCCACAACTTACATAGTTTGCTAAAACAAGCTGATGTAAATTACACTTTTCAATTGGTTGATTGACTCACCAAGGTTGTGAACGGCAGTCGAAAAAATCCAAACGATACTCATCCAATTGAATCTCCCACATGGCACCTGTAGTGAATATTGAGTGAAAGAGAATTACAAGAGTTTGAGTAGGATGTAAACAGACTGCATAGTTTTCTTAGATGAGTAATTTGTGTGGGTTGTTCAAGTGAATTGGGTGATGACATCCATTCCACACTGTTACAGTTTCCTTATGTGAATAGAATGAAGGCTCAACTACATTGTGATTAGTTCATGATGTTGTGAAATGTGATAGCAGGTTATAGTTGCCTTCTGAGAATGTGACTGACTGTACTTTTGTGATTAGCTCTACTCTCACGTTGAGACATTTTGTCTAGACTTGTTTGTTACAAGGTGATGTAGTGGTGAGTGTGTGTTCAGTCTTCAATGCATAGATGACAGTGATGACAGAGTCAATTTGAGAATGGATTGTTGATGTGCCGAATATTTGGTGATGTAAATGACGCTACTGTCAAACTGTCAGTAGTAGTATTCAAGATGTTTTATTTGAACAAGTTGTACTCACGTTAAGTCGATGTGTATGAGAACAGTTTTTGTGTCATGAATTGAACATGGAAGTAATTGGTAGAAGTACTCGTCATGTGATTGACTCACTTCTCAACAGCATATTTACTCCATGACAACTAGATTGATCGTTGAAAGAGACAAGAGATTAGCGAGTTGCATCCTAGTATAGAAAGAAGTCTGCATGTGCAAATGTTAACTGGAGATGATCGAGATTCAGTGTCTCTCGGTGTTGTGCATGTGCACTACTCACAAGTCCAACACTACGATAAATCAGCTTTCCATGGCTCATAGGTATTCAACGAATCTCTAACTGATATCAGTCGAAATTGAATGTAACCATGAAATCCCATACAAACCTCAACAACATGAGATTACTTCATTACTACTGCGATTTCAGTTGTGGAATAATATCTGTACAGATTATTTCCAAATCCTTAAGCTCCATGACTTCAAAATCGCTTGCCATAAACGTTAACGATCATACTTTGAAGCACTTACTCACACTGATTATTTGAACTGGAGATCTATCGGTAACTGAAACCGCCTACATAGTCCAGTCGTGTATTCCAACCTCTGGTTGTGACACCCCGTTGTTGTCCTTAGGTCCTAGTGGTTGTGGATTATTTGTGTATGGATATATGCAACCAGTGGAATGAAATGCATCCTGTAGAGGATAGATATTCAGAACAGACCTGAGATTTCAATGATTTTGAATGGTTGCATAATTGAATGACAATGTGGTGTAACACACGAACGCAGTGGTTCTTATAACTCAGTAACCTAGTGATTGGCACCTCGGTGTTTGAAACGATGTCCATTGGATCACAGTCTGAATGAGAATGTCATCTGTCAGAATCATTCAGCTGGAGATTCCCAAATAGGACACAATGCATGTCGTGAAATTCATTGCTAGCCACTACACATCATATTAATTGGTGAAAATGAGATTGTTTGAAGATACAGTTTTGTCATGTATACATGTTTGATGATATGAATGAATACAGAGGGTTGAATTTTCCTTACAGAAAAATGTGCGTGTATTCACTTATCTACTTGGTCAACACTCATCAGCTGAGGAGTATGTCGAAGAGCTTGCATGTCTGAATAGAGGTAAACAATGATTTCATGAAAGTTTGTGTTTATTTTCTAAGCATGAAAACTCACAATGATGAGTTAACATAGCTATAAATGTAATCAGTGTTCGTTGAATTTTATTACTCAATGCAAAGTGAAGTAAGAGAGTGACTGTAAAGG